TCGTCATAAAGATGTAAACAGGCGGGATCTTCTACTTGTTGTAAGACTTAATAAATAACTTACTTTGTTTTTCCTGGCACCGTCTGAATTCAGCTTCTGTTTAAAGATTGATTTTACAGCCAAATGTATCGCATGAAAGCCAGTATTATTTTGAATGCTACTAAGATACAGTTTTCGTTCATTTAGAAAAGTTTTGGCATCCACGAGTTTCGCGACCTGATACATGATAGCAATTTTCAACAGGCATTTGAACAGAATGCGGAACAGTGACATGTTCACTACCTCTTAAACTAATCCAAAGATTGTATATTCTTAAATATTTTATTTTTCCTCGCTTCTGTGTCGACTATTTTTATTAGCCATGCATCACATTGCTTCGGGAAGACTTTTCCGTGATATATTTGGCTTCAAAACAACTCCCGGAAACGGATTGATTGAGTCATGACAAGGTAGAGAAGCACAAGCCAACTTTGTTTATATTGTTTAAGTAAATGCTGTTTATATTGTTTAAAGTCTGTAAAGTCGATGGTTAAATAACAGAAATAAGTTACTCTAACAGGTAGAAAGGGAAAAGGAAATAACTAATTTTAATTATTGAAAGAAAATAAATCATTTAATCTCTACTAGTTATCAACATAATTTAATTCTTTTACTGCTTAAATGCTGTTAAAATTTGAAAAAACAATGATGCCAAGAGTTATTTTACCGCACCCCCCGCATGATGTCGTGATGTTAAGTGGTTAGCACACTCAGCTGTCAAACGGAAAATGGTTCGAATCCAGATGAAGCACAGTTTATACTTCATATATTTCACATTAGAAAAAGCCTAATAATCTCTGCAGTGGCTCCCGAACATAATGTAGTAGATGGTAACTCACTGCAGCTTGCATTTTACCGACTGGTTCTCATGCCTGCTACCTGCCACGCTTTGAAAGGGAAGAATGAATATGTTTGCATTCCGGTTGTTTGTGAAGAGAGTGGTAATCTTTCCATCGACAAAAGCATGTGGCCGTCGTAAGGATCCTAAGTTTACTAAGGTTATTTATTTTAAAACTGTACTATCACTTCTTATTTTCTCTTCCGGCCAGAATTAAGCTTTACTTTAGATCATGGGTTTGGTAGCGAAAATATAAAAAATATGCAACGCTTCGCCGGGATCGACCGGACATCTAAATACGGTAGTTTTAGGGACCTCCGCCAAACCGGGTGTGGAGAATCTCCCACAACCTTTTAGTTCGGGCGCATTTGTAGAGTCATTAGTTAATGGAAGCGAAAAGAAAAAAATGCACCGCCTGCGCTGGGAATCGAACCACGGCCCTATGAAATCGGCTCGTGGCAGAACCACTACACCACGAAGACGCTAGAACGGGAGAAATACCTACCTTATAACTTATTTATGCAAATTGTCTGCTAACTCAATACTTAGTTGTGGCTTTGCCAAGCAAGAGCGGAGGAGTTGTTTTCTAGTTTTCACTCTGTGTGGTTGCCTTCAAGGCCAGAGTTAGCCTCTGATAATGACATGTATCGTAGTTTTAGCAGTCGGCGTCTACATACGTACTTTCTTTAAATAAGCCAATCCTAGTGCTAGCACTTGTAACAATTCAAGTAGTTTAGTTAGAGTTTTAGGTAGTAGTTTTTTATTTTACGTTCACACGAGTGTGGTGGTTCTGTCTTCCGAAGTTCGAAATCTGTAAAGTATGAAGGGTTCGTATACCCTTCCTGTTTTATTGTACTTCACAATCTTGAAAAGCTTGATAAGCTCTCTGTTCCTAGTCAGGACCCATTATGTTTCCAAGCAAGTCAAAAACACTAGTCGATACGATTATTGAGAATATACAATTGGTATTGACTTATCATAAAATCTTTATTTCAAAATATAATTTAATGCTTTCTATTACCTTCGATTTCACAATTTAGTTGTATTTACTTTATGATAGGATAAGTAGATTTTATTTACTATATTTATTTAATTCTTCCTGAAAAATATTCAGCCAGAATGTAGAACTAAACTTAGCACAATAACTTTAGAATAAATACATATTATAGATAATAGAATACAATAGGGAATTCATATCTTCTATAATTAGCAAAATTAGGAAGAATAAATAAATAAAATAACTTAAAATTTCAATAATTTAAAGGATAAATTAATTCAGCAAAGAATGTTGAACTAAATTCCAGCACAATTAAATTAAATTAAATTAATAATAGTTCCAATACAATAACTTTGATAATTTTGATGTAAAAGTTAATGAGATTTCTAATTCCTGCAGCCCATGCACACGATTTACAACTTAAGAAATACTTTTCTAATGCAGAGCAAAAAACATTCAATTATTTCCACTTTTACTTTAATTTAATAAGAGAGTATTAAGTATCGAAATTTACGAAAATATACCATCGAAAGAATCACAATATCATAAGAGACGCGTATGGTTCTAATGCTTTTTAGTTGAATATAATGAAAAACATTGTAATCAGGTACACAAATTCTTTAACTGAGCATAAATTAAATCAAGCTCGATGAATTCATATGGTTAGAAATCTTTTTCTGAGCATGAAGAAATCAGCTCTATGAATTCATCATGGTAGCAATTCTTTTAATAATATGAGAATAAAGCTCTCGACTTATAACTTCATCATGGTTTAAGACATTCTTTAATCGAGCATAAATTAAATCTTTCTTGAATTCATCAGGTTAAGAAATTCTTTTAATGAGCATAAATCAAATCATCTCTAGAAATTCATCATGTTTAAAAATCTTTAAAATCTGAGAGATAAATATCTTAACTATGAATTCATCATGGTTAAGAAATTCTTTTAATCTGAGCATAAATTAAATCAGCTCTATGAATTCATCATGGTTAAGAAATTCTTTTAATCTGAGCAAATAAATCACTCTATAATCTATGGAAGAATTCTTTAATCTGAGCATTAAATAATCAAGCATCTCTATGAATTCATCATGGTTAAGAAGAAAATGATAGCACTTGTCATTGGTGTAGGCTCCTTGGGCACCTTATAAGTGACAGAATGAGTTCACTCACTTCTGTCCCAACGTTGATGGAGAACACCTCGGCAACTGATGAAAAGGTCTTCAGTTTCAAGTGCACATCCATGTCTTCTGCGAGATACGTATCAGAGAGATGGAAACCTTCAACACTAACTATTATGACTGTCAAACAGGCTTGTGATTTGGAAGCAGTCAACCTTTATAGCGGCTAGTGCTGCTGCCTGCATTATTGTGGGACAAGAGTTCGAATCCTTGCTTATAGCGACTGTGCAGCATGGCGGAACTTAAAATACTGGTAACCCAATATACCTCGATTTCGTCCCTCCCGAGGTATTTTCTATCAAAATAGGGATGAAATTCCCTATTTTTGGAGGTGTACAATCGGTTGCGCATCTGCGGGGGACCTTGGGCAACTTTCTCACTAATAAGAGGCTAAATGACCGATAGATTCGATTTTTTCCGATCAAATCCTAACTAACAAAGCTTCCGGTGTAAAGACATTAGAATTTTTGGAAGCACAAAATACGAAAAATATGCAACCGCTTTCGCCGGGAATCGAACCACTAACCTCTTGAATACCGGCCCAGCGTGCTACCGTTACACCACAAAGGCACGCGAGGGAAGTGGGAAATACCTATATACTACCCTTTTTAAAGGGCGACTAGGGTTTTAGGGGATATAGTCGCTTAAGCCTGGGTGCGGAGGGTCATCATCCACAACCGTTTTAGTTCGGGCGCCACTGTAGGGACATTAGGATTTTTTTTTGGAAGCCGGAGAGATGAAAAATTAACAACGCCTTCGCCAGGAATCGAACCACGGACCTCTGGAATACCGGCCCAACCTGCTACCGCTACACCACGAAGGAAGCTAGGGAAGTGGAAGAAATACCTTATACCGGTAGTTGGATAAAATGTAATCTGGAAATTCATTTCGTATTTTTATCCCAAAAGAGGCAATTTACCCAGAAGGGCTATTACTTTAGTTTTAGCATTTTGCATTGGCTTACTATAAATGTCCGTTTCACTTTTCATATTGTTGCCACTAAATATTAGACCCCTTCGTTATATTTAAAGAAATTAAATAGTGAAGAATCTGCATGAATGTATACATGTTTCTCGCATTGTGAAGAAACAAGGGTACTCAGAGACATCAAATTCTGATTAACGTAGTCCTCTACTCGAATATGGGCACCCGGAATCTCAGATTTGGAATTTGTTTTATTATCTATTTCATATTTTGTAAAACTTTAACGAATTCTTGAATAATGAAATCAACGATTTCAAAGCTAGCGATGGCAACACTGTACGAAAAAAAAAATATCGAGCGCAAATATCGGATATTCTAAAGATAGGCTCTTTTTAAATTATTTTGTGATATTGCTGTTGAATTGAATTTTATGCGGTTTCAGTGCCATGATATTTCATAAACAAAGGTAACACACAAAGCGTTAAAAAAAACAACCCTTTGGGTCTAATATAAAATCTGAAATCTTTCAGATTTTGTTTTAAATTAAAATTTTTTCCCTAAATTAAATAAATTAAGGATAAGTTATCTTTTCTCTAGTGAACTCAGGCTAATTATTTTGGCCCATACATATCTTAACTAAATGATAACGCTGCAATGAAGAAAGCTTTTTTTTTTTTTTTTTTTTTTTTTTTTTTTTTTCTTTTTTGTTTTTACTCAAAAATGAAGTCACTTCATGCTCATTCTGTGTTGAAATTAATAACAAATGTATATTTGAAATCTGAATTTAGGGAAATTTAACATCAGTTGTTACGGTTACGTTTTCTATTTCTCAAAATATAGATTTATATATTCCTTATCCCAGAATGCATACATTATGACCTACATCATAATTTAAATATAATTGTTATTAAAAATATCAAAGTCTGTTTTTTTTTTTTTTGATTAAATTTTCTCAAAGATCTTCACACTCCTAGAAAATATGCGAAAAGGCAATTGAGGTCTTAAATAAAAATTTTATTACCAGGAGCATGACAGGAGCATTGATTCCGAAAGCTGAGAGTGCACTTCCGGATATTAAAATCTGGACCGTTCTTGATTTGAGAACTGCGAAATCAAAAAAGGGAGGCTTCTCTTTCTGGGCATTTTTATCTTTGGCCTTGGAACGCTTCTGGAGCCCTTTCAGATGAAGAATAGCCCTCCGCTGGGGATGGTACAAAGACGCTGGTCTGTAGAAGATTCCCAAGATGAAAGTTAGTGACATCATTCCAGTTATGGCTTGAAGACCCAATCGCCAGCCCAGATTGCTGTAAGGGAAGAATGAAAAGGTTACTCATGGGGTTAATAACACCAGGTCAATTGTTCACAGTGATCTGTACTATGGGTATGCCTCTTTTGGGTGGAGACGGCAAAGTGGGCAATACTCTTCGGATTGCATTCGAAGTTAACATTAACGGTTATCAGATATTATTCATTTTAGTGGATCTTAATTAGATTCATAATGAACATATTTCTGAAGTTATTAATTCAATTAAAAATCTAATGTTTGCAACATATGATATCCTTAAACGACCTATTAAATTATGCGCATTTTTTCCTGCACTTCATTTAAATTTATTTCTAATTATTCTTAACTTCATTAATTAATCTCTTAAGCCAAGCTGAAAATCGTAAATTAATGTGTCATCTCTCGCATGATATGGATGTCAGATACTGATATACCATACATTATGAAATCTTAAATGCATTTATTTTAAATTTTATTTAAAAACAATAAGATACATTCCGTAGAGAAAAAGAGGAAGAATGAGCTTGCTTGTTTATATTAGCTATACATAAATCACGTGATTGCTGAGGTCAACACTATGCATATCATAGAATTTCACATTCGTAAATAATGAAAACAGTTTTTCAATTTAGAATCATATTTTGCTATTTCGTTTGCTACACGAAAAAATATGCTGCGAATAAGCTAAATGATTGTAATAGGTTGTTGCAGCATTTATAATGCGTATATGAGAGAAGTGTCCATGGGACAGAAAATTGCTGTTTCCCTTTTCTTTTAAACTTCCTTATACGAAGTAAAGGAAGTATTGTACTAATTCAGAAGTCAAGCAACAAAAATCAGCGTTATATTTTCAGCTGCAAAAGCGCAAATGAACAAGATAGGATATAATGATTAGATAAGATGAGAAAGCCTGGACAGGAGATAAGCTACTGGCGAAATTTGTTGATGAAACCAGAACTAAAATATAATTTCCTTAAAGGCTGAAGGCAAAGTCTACAGAGCTTTATTACTAAAAGAATTAATTTAGAAGTCAAAATAAAAATCAGCGTTATGTTTTCAAATTTTTACATGCTAGTTCGATCTTTACCAAATCATCATCTTCAGTGCAAAAGCGCAAATAAACGCATAAGATATAGTGATTAGAGGTAAAGTAAGAAAGAACGGACAAGAGTCAAGCTACTGGCGCATCCATTGATTAACCAAAATAAAACATAATTTCTTTAAAGCTGAAGGCAAGATTGGCTTGGAATTGGATGTAACTAGAACAGAAAAGATTTTTTACTGTGAAATTCATCTAACAATCCAGTTCACCAATGAAAGATGTTTTTAAATACTTTTGGCGAAGAAAAATAAAATATGATTTCGGACCAACAATGGGGCAACAGAAGACTTCTGAGTTTCTTTTTTTTTCTAACATATCCCTCATGTTCCTTAACGCAATTTTAAGGTCTCTTAGTTTGACCAATGTAATTAAACCACACCGGCAAGAATCCGTAAACCCTATCAATTCATATCGGAAGGGGTCCTGAGTATGAACTCGGAAATTTTTATTGATGGGAAAAACGACCGAAATTTAAATTTCTGCAAAATACGTCAACTTGATTGCAATTGATGGAAAGAATGGAATGACAACAGAATTGTTCTAATCTCCTAAACAAGAGTGTGCCTTTTGGTGTGTTGAGATGAGAATTTTTTAACTGCTTGATTAATAATGTTATTAATTAAGTATTGTAATCACGAAAAATACCAGGTACCATATTTCAACGAAAATATCCATATTGATGGCTCTCGAATGCAGTTTAACGATGTTTTTGCGTAACATCTGTAAACATGGACAGAATAAAGAACTCCTTTTCACAAAACGAATTATAGAACTGATTAAACATGGACTCAGAAGAGATTTTTTTCGTAGCGTCTGTACGTATGTACGTATGTATGTATCTCGCATAACTCAAAAACGAGTAGTATTAGAAAGTTGAAATTTTAAACATGGAACTGCTATAGCATGTAGTTGTGCATTTCCCTTTCTGGTGGCAATCGGCCGCAAAACAGTATATACGAGGCGATTCGGAAAAAGTACCGTTTGAAAAAAATAGTAAAACATTTTTCGATCCATTTATTTTTACTGAAAATGCGTCTTAACTATTTTCACATAGTTCCGCTATGATCCACACTTGTCAGCGAGGCCGTTTTTAATACGAGCGTCAAGAACTTCCCTCAGTTTTGAGAACACGATCCACAGCATTTTTTTCGTGTCATCGCAGATCCAAGGCTTGCCACCAAGTTCGCGCTTTATGTGCAGGAAAGTGATAGTCGGACAGCGCAAGTCCGTCTGTACGGCGGGTACGAACTGCTCCAATAAACTGTCGAATTACGATTGATTTACCCAGCAGTATGGGACCGCGCATTGTCATGGAGCAAACAATTCTTTACTGAGCATTCTCTTCGTTTGTTGGATGGCACGCCATGTTTGTTTAAAGTCTCACAATATCGTCCGCTTAATGGTTTCACCTCTGAAATTAGTCGCAAAACGCCTTCCTACCCAGAAGACGTGCACATGATTTTTGTGATGCTATTGCCTTGAAGCTTTGTTTTTCGGAGAATGAAGGTGTCTCCCTCCATCGCCGTTGTTTCGATTCTGGTGTGAATGACCAACCAAGTTCATAACTGTCACAATTTGTTTAACGTTTTCTCTTCATCACTGGACCGCGGAGAAATGCAGGGCACTACAAGTCGCTTGTTTTGTGAAATCAGTGAGCATTTTTGGAACCCATTGGGAAAACTTTTGCTATAATCAAGCGGTCAGACACAATTCGAACAAAAAGTACGTGAATTTGTGGAATGCTCTGAAAGAGTTGCCATTGTGAAGCGTGTTCTCATGAATTGCTTCATCAACTTTCTACCAAACTTGGTCAAACAGAGCGCCACCCGATCCTCGGCTGGACTTCGTTCGACCTGCTTAAACAGTCTCCCTTCACCATTCATCACTATCGCGATACCGTAACGTCTGTCATTGACGATAAATTTCGGCCGTTTAACTTCCTCCGTTCAAAAAATTTATCACGGCACGAATCTCACAGTCATCGGGCGAACTAATTGTCTTCACATTTGATGTGCACACCGACTGCAAACAACATGAGCCAAAAAAATGGCGACAATGAAAGTAGTGAACAGAAAGACTAGTGCGATGCGTGGGACCGCTCCACGCGCTGCGACGGCGCAGAATGAACGGTACTTAGTTCCGATACTCTACTATATATATATCTTATATGATATATATATATATATATATAATATATATTATATATACACCAGTGGAACTAGGCTCTGAGCTCGAATTTTTTATTTTTATTTGTGGTAATTCCGATTTTTTGTTTTAAAAATGATTGATTATTTTTTTATTTCGGTTAGGATATTCCGGTTATCAGATTTTTTTAAACATTAAATATTTTTATGCACATCAGATTTTTTAAAAATAGTTTGATATTATTTAGCAGATATATTCCTCATTGAAACTTAAATTTGATGAAGATATTGTTATACATTTTTTTTATAAATATTAGCATTTATTTGTTATTTAAAAAACTAATGGTGCGCTTTATTTAATTTTGAATTTGTACATACATCTTGTATTTGCATGTATTTATTACTGTATGTATTGAAAATGCATGAATGATAACAAATGGCTTGAATTTTTACTTAAAATATTCCATTACTTCAAAATTTGAAAGTCAAATAGACTGATCATATTTTTCTATTTCCGTGAGAGAATACTCTTTTATTTCTGCCTTTCATCCGTCGTATCATTTTTGCAAAAATTTAAATTTTTTACAGTTTTCATAAATATATTAATTGTTAAACTTTTAATTAGGCATAGCGGGTAAGCAAATATTTTACATATATAGGATGTTTATAAATAAATGTTGCGGTTTTAAAAATTAATAATAAATCGATGTACTTCCTTTGTTCCTGTGCTTTGTGAACTTCCTTTGTTGTGTCAAATTTCTATGATCAAGTTAGTTTCAACAACAAAAACACATTTAACTGAAGCATTTGTGTTTTCAATACAATTAAAGATTCGGAAGCAGGTCATAGCAAAGTTTCAAGAATTAAACTAATATGACAAATGCGATTCAAATGCAAGAATCGACAAGCTTTCGTATTTTATTCGAATTGGCTCCAGAAGTAGTAACTATAAATCATTTTCAATATATACTTACCTCACAGCATGGGCAACCAGTAACGGCACCACTGCCATCCCTATTCCTGTGCTGGATATAACAAATATTTCCACCAGTTCCCGCTTCTTTTTGAAGTACTGGCCGACCATGATGGATGAGGTTCCCCTGCTTAAGCTCACTCCGATTCCAAGGATAACACCATAACTGAAGTAAAGTTGATGGAATTGGGACGCAAAAGAGGTGAATAGACAGCCGAGGGCTCCTATCAGGCCTCCCAGTATGGCCAGCAACCGGGTGCTCTTACGCCTACTCAAGGCTACGATAATCGGCATTATGAGAACGGAAATTGACATCGATGAAGTACCCATAACAACTGAAAAATGAAAGAAAGAAGAATTTAGAACCTATTTTAAAACATGGAAGTTTGTATGAAATTAAATAATTATGTTGGTGACATACAATTAACATGTCGATTAGCTTACAAACCTTACTCTTTTTTCATAAGGCTAAAATACCAGTGTCTAATCATATATCCTGATCAGAACGTACAATTTTACAGAACATGTTTTTAATAGTTTTTTTAACAGAACATATAATATTTGGTAATTGAAAATTAACAGTACAAAAAATACTTGAGACTGCTGTAAGGAATTTATATCATGAATATAATTAGTTATAAGGGTTATTTTTCGTATTTTCATTTGGTAACACCGGAAACCTCACTGTTTTTAAATGACTTTTAATAATTATGTACACTGATATTTAGGCATTGATAGCACTGATATTTAAGCACAGAGAAATGAGGCACTGATAGCTTTGATTTATGAGACACTGATACTTAAAATGCCATCTTGGAAGATACGGCCTTCACCGAACACATCACGGCAAAACATAGCACGTAGAAAACATCGCGGTAGAAAACAAAGCAAAGAGAAATTATCATAGTTCTGAAATATCGTGACATAAAACTTCGTTGCAGAAACTGAAGTGGTTCAAAAACTTCGCAACATTAAAACATCTCTAGTGCAAAATATCGCTGTAAAAAGTAAAACACATATAAACCACCGCAAGCTGATAACATCCAAAACATGTGATTTTCAGACTTTTAAAGTGTTGAATGTTTATTCACGTAATGATATGTGAATGCAAAAAGAAGTAAGGAATATTGTTATCGCTATAATTACTAATACATTTTAATAACAAGTAGTAGATTTTTGTAAAGAAATTGATTAGATAATAACTTTTAATAATTAAATACATAAGTTTAAAGTTCTACAATAAGTTTTAATAACTGACTACGTAAGTTTAAAATTCTACAATGACTTTTAATAATTAACTACATTAAGTTTAAAATTGTACAATGATTTTCAATAATTAACTTTGTAAGTTTAAAATTCTACAATGACTTTTAATAATTAGCTAGGAAAGCTTAAGTATAGAGTTCTGGAATGACTAACAATTAACTACGTAAGTTTAAAATTCTACAAAAACTTTTAATAATTAACGACGTAAGTTTAAAATTCTACAATAACTTTTAGCTATGTAAGCTTAAAATTCTACAATGACTTTTATAATTAACTACTTATTTAAATTCTACAATGACTTTTTTAATTAACTTTGTAGTTAAAATTCACTGACTTTTAATAATAGCTACGAAAGTTAGAGTTTACAATTTTTTAAATTAGCTACGAAAGCTTAAGTATAGAGTTCTACAATGACTAATAATTAACTACGTAAGTTTAAAATTCTACAAAAACTTTTAATAATTAACTACGTAAGTTTAAAATTCTAGAATGACTTTTAGCTACGTAAGCTTAAAATTCTACTATGACTTTCAATAATTAACTACATTAAGTTTAAAATTCTACAATGACTTTCAATAATTAACTTTGTAAGTTTAAAATTCTACAATGACTTTTAATAATTAGCTACGAAAGCTTAAAATTCTACAATCACTTTCAATAATTAACTACATTAAGTTTACAATTCTACAATAACTTTTAATAAATAATTACCTAAGTTTAAAATTCTACTGCCTGTTATGCGTAGCATTAATTTCTATATATTTTTTTATCTTGAATCCTTTTTCAATAAAATGTATTACTGAATTGAAAAGTATAAAATATAGAGATAAAAGTATTTCTTATTTCTTCTTGAAGTTCACAAATCATTACGTGACAGCGCATTTAAAAGTTTTAATATGTAGGAAAACATGTGTGAGATGTCTTATCATCAAACCACAAAACTTTTATCACGATATTTTGCATGGAACTGTTAAAAAACTGGGATTCTTTTGAACTGATTTATTAAACTTCGATAATTTCAACTTGCTTTCTTTTTTCCCATGATTTCTGTACGATTATGTTTCCACTTGCGTTGTTTTCGGCTCTACCACAGGATAGTATGCTGTCTTGCTGGGGTTTCGCAAATAAATCACATAAATGTTTTACGCTCTTTTTTTTTCGGGGGGGGGGTAAATGAATGTCCTGTTGATGTCTCCTTACATAAGTATTCCATCCTTTCAAACTTTGCAATTCATTTGGCAATGCTGTGGGGATGACTACCATCATTTTGTAACAAATTTAGACCGAAAACATCTATGAATTACGACCGTCAATGAAAGTTTTGCGCACTTAAGAAATTAAATTTAAGTCAAAATATTTGCTTCAGTATCAAAAATTCAGAGTTTTTTACTTCCTTGTACGAAGTAAAAAGGAAGCATTATAATCGCGAAAAGTTGCAGGCAGCATACTTCAACGAAAATATCCATTTTGACCGCTATCGAATGCAATTTAACGATGTTTTTGCATGATATCTGTACGTAAGGACAGAATAAAAGACTCTTTTCCTCCAAAAAAAATTATAAAACTGCTTTAAAAGGAATTCTGAAGAGAATTTTAAGTGGCGTCTGTACGAACGTACATACGTACGTATCTCGCATAACTCAAAAACGAGTAGCCTCAAACGTTGAAATTTTGTATATAGGACTGCTATAACATGTAGATGTGCACCTCGTATTTCGGTTTAATCGGCAGCACCAAATGTATATAAATATATTTATATATATATCCATCTATTACCCGGCTCAGTGATCTCAGTTTCTTTACTCTTATATGTTTGTAATGACATTTTTTGCTTTAAAAATTATTGAATTATGTTGTTTTTTCTTCCGGTTAAGGATTTTATGCCTTTAGTAAATCTGTGTGCAATATTTTTAGAATTATCAGCAATTTTAAGTTGTTTAATTGCCGCTAAGCCGTTTTTAATGGCGGCCATTGACGTTTAACATTTGAAACAGGAGACTAGTGGATTTGTTGCCAATCTAGAGAACCTTAGCTTCGCAACAACAAAGATAACGCATTCATTTATTATTGCCATTAAATCATGCTTAATTGTTTCTGGAATTTTTTCGAGGAAATAAGCGTTTGAGATTTACTTCGTAAGTTTTAATATAGATATTTTGAGTTTTTATGTATTTTTGCCTTCTCGCAAGTGAGAACTGAATTAATTGAATGAGAAATACCAATCGTCTGTGAAAAACTGCTTCTGTTTTGTTTTGTTTGCTTAATTTCTTTTATACATCATTCTAGCTTTATTTCTAGTATTTGAATAGAACATGTGGCAACGATAGATAATTCTTTAAATGATATACATTTGTGCATTCTGAGTTAATATGAATGAAATATAATCACGTAAGTAAACCTAGCGGCAGAGTGTCTCTATGGTAAACAACTGAATTTAAAGAATGCATTTATTCTATGTGGTTTATGCGCTGTCGGCGAAGTAGGTTTAATCAATCTAATAAGTTTAATAAAATGCAAGAAAAATACTTATAACTTAATATTCCGTACAAGGAAGTCATGTGGTGTACACATCAGATTATTTTCTATTTGTAATACAAACATTTTTTTTTAACGATTGCCAGCGGTTATTTTGAAATTACTAAATTGAGTCTTTTATTCATCTACGCTTTATACCTTTCACAGTCAGCTTTCAGTCACACAGGTCATAAAATTCACAATTGCTGCTGCCAGAAACCTCACCATAATCGTTCAGTAAATCTTGCCTCAAACCTTATATAGTTATTTTACAGCTATAAAGTCACTTAGAACAGTGCCCTCAATTTGACTGAAGTACTTTTATGTAGGCCACAAAAGCATTTTTCGTAAATTAATTAGCATTCTTAATGACATTCAATATTATGGCAAGAATTTGAAAACAGGCTTTAGATTTCAAAGATTTTAACTCCAATTTTAAAAAGTTTCCCTTACCACTGTAATTAACCTGAGAAATGTCCCACTCCGATGTCAATCTTATTCAAAGACTCGAGGGTACAGATTTGTTTAACACTTTTTTTGTATTCATCAAAATGTAAACAGCTTCAGTTCCCATTGTATACAATCAGAATAATTCTTTTGTTTGGGAATACATTTATGTGTGAATTCTTCTTTTCGGTAGTTGAATCTTAATAAGTATACAAAGAGAAAAAGATTGACGAATAAGCATCAACAATTCTTCATGAAAATAGATTTTAATAATTTTCTTAAAGATCTTAAAATTTATCAAAATCGAAACGCCGTGAAATGTTATAGTTAAAACCCGTAGTAAGGGATAAAAAAACTTGTTGTTATTTATATAACTATATATATATATTACGGTGAAACACAGAAATCTGGAGAATGTCGACTTTAACCGGTGAACTGTCAACATTCACATAGTCGCTTTGTGTTTGTCCGAAATATTTTCCAAATACCTCTTATTTCTGACTTCACCGGTAAATGTCGACATTCACCCTGTACTAATGGTGAATGTGGAACGTATAAGAATATCATATTTTCTTCTCCGTTATTCAGTGGCGAAAAAACGCATTTGAAACTTAAAATAAGAACTTAAGAATATAAAAACTTAAAATACACAGTACATTCAAAATGAGAAAGGAAAATAATAGAAGTTATAAACTACCAAATTAACGTGATTCAAATGTTTTTTTGCAACAACTTAAACTATTATGACACTTTGAATTGCACAAGAGGCCCTTGCTTTTACAACTACATTTATTTGTGGAACACTTCCTTTTGGAATGGCAGCGTGTATATATACTCCTCTCTTTTCGACCTACACCAGAGCATATCTGTGATTGTCGACATACACTGGTGAGGCTCCGAATGTACAAGAATGTAAAGAAATATTCGATCTTTCACCGACGTATTTGGTGAATGTTGACATTCTCCGGTGAAAGTCGACATTCTCCAATTTCGGTCTTTCACGGTAACATATATTTTCCGGTATTTACATGTTATTGCAACCACCAAAATAGAAATCGCCAAAAGTTTAAAATACACAAAACTCTGGTAACCACGCACATAGCAATTC